GAAAACTGGGCCAGTTGTGGGCGGGTTAAGGAGGTGAGAGTATATGGAATCATCTGTACTATCTTAACTTTTCTGTAAATCTAAAACTGTATTTAAAATGATTGTCAGCCAGGCTAGGGGGCTCCCAGCATTCTGGGAGGCTGAGGCAGGTGAATCACCTGAAGTCAGGAGTTCGAGACAAACCTGGCCAACATGGTGAAACTATATCTCTACTAAAAATACAAAAAAATTAGCCGGGCATGGTGGCAGGCACCTGTAATCCTGGCTACTTGAGAAGCTGAGGCAGGAGAATTGCTTGAACCCGGGAGGCGGAGGTTGCAGTGAGCTGAGATCACGCCACTGTATTCCAGCCTAAAGGACAGAGTGAGACTCAACCTCAAAAAAAAAAAAAAAAAAAGATTGTCAGGCATGGTGACTCACACCTGTAATCCCAGCACTTTGGGAGGCAAAGCTGGGTGGATCATCTGAGGTCAGGAGTTGGAGACCAGCCTGGCCAACATGGCGAAACCCTATCTCTACTAAAAACACAAAAAATTAGCAGGGCATGATGGTGGGTGCCTATAATCCCAGCTACTCAGAAGGCTGAGGCAGGAGAATCGTTTGGGCCTGGGAGGCAGAGGTTGCAGTGAGCCAAGATTGCAGCTCTGCACTCCAGCCTGGGTGACAGAGCGAGATTCCATCTCAAAAAAAAAAATTGTCTATTAATTCTGCTCTATATGCACTTGGCATACAATCCCATAATTGTCCTCGCATGCATTTACCCCGCCATGTAGGAGCAGGAATACACAGTTTCTCCTAATAGACTCGCACAACACACTATGACAACAGATATGTGAGGGATTTTCCTCATACATCGAACAAGAGGTCAATTCTGCAGCAGACAACAGCTGGTGTCCTCCAATTCAATCCCATTCTGACACTGTCTGCCTGGATATAGCATCAGGTCCCACAGGTTGAGACCTCAGTCCTAAGGACTACCCCCACTTCAGACTCCAGAACTTTTTACTGATCAGCTACAAGTCAGGGTTCCCACAATTCCCTCCTGGGTTTAATTAATTTGCTAGAGTGGCTCTTAGAACTCAAGGAAAGGTTAGGAGTGGTGGCTCATGCCTATAAAGCCAGCACTTTGGGAGGCTAAGGAGGGAGGATTGCTTGAGGCCAGGAGTTCAAGACCAGCCTGGGAAGCAAAGTGATACCTCGTCTGTAAAAAAAAAAAAATTTTTTTAATTAGCCAGGCGTAGTGGCACACACCTGTGGTCCCAGCTACTTGGGAAGATCACTTGAACCCGGGGGGCTGAGGCTGCAGTAAGCCTTCACTGCACTCTGGCCTGGGCGACAAAGACCCTGAAAACCTCAGGGAAATGTGGAGTCCTAATTAGGGGAGAAAAGTTGGTCCAGGACATATAAACAAAAAGAACACGCAGATAAATTATGGATCTGTCTTTCTTTATGGCCCAGGACATACAGTCCTCCTGAGCGAATAACGTGCATAACTCACAAACTTCCTGCTTACCACCAAACGCTTCAATTCATCATGAAACACCTCGCCTGACAGAGGAATGCAAGCTACTTCCCTGCTACCTTGGCATTATCAAACAGCCCAAGAACCATCTTCTAAAATCTCCAGCAAGCCTTCATTTCCTCAAAGTCAGCTCCTCTTTTGCTGATTCTTCCCGTTGCTCTCTTGCAATGTATTTTTCTATTTTCTCTAATAAATATGCCTTTCTTTACCTACAACTGCCGTGGTAAAATCTTTTACCTGTGAGCCACCAGCCCAGCCCAGACAGTCGCCACTCGCCCTCAACAGAAAACACAAAACTATGTTTACTGGTTTTTATAAAGGTTTTTTTTTGTTTTTTTTTTTTTTAAGATGGGGTTTCACCATGATGGTCAGGCTGGTCTTGAACTTCTGACCTCAGGTGATCCATACACCTCGGCCTCCCAAAGTGCTAGGATTACAGGCGTGAGCCACCGCGCCTGGCCTGTTTTGTTTTGTTTTTTAAGACAGTCTTGTTCTGTCACCCAGGCTGGAGTGCAGTGGTGCAATAATGGCTCACTTCAGCCTTGACCTCATAGGCCCAAGCGATCCTCCTGTCTCAGCCTTCCACGTATTTGGGACCACAGGCATGCACCACCATACCCAACTATTTTGTATTATTTTTATTTTATTTTATTTTAGATGGAGTCTCACTCTGTTGCCCAGGCTAAAGAGCAGTGGTGCGATCTCAGCTCACTGCAACCTCTGCCTCATCGTTCAAGTGATTCTCTTGCCTCAGCCTCCCCAGAAGTTGGGATTATAGGCACCCGCCACCACCCAGCTAATTTTTGTTTTGTTTTTTTGAGACGGACTCTCACTCTGTCGCCCAGGCTGGAGTGCAATGGCGTGATCTCGGCTCACTGCAACCTCCCACTCCCGGGTCCAAGCGATTCTCCTGCCTCCCGGTAGCTGGGATTACAGGTGCATGCCAACACAACCGGCTAATTTTTATATTTTTAGTAGAGACGGGGTTTCATCATGTTGGTCAGGCTGGTCTCAAATTCCTGACCTTGTGATCCGCCCACCTCAGCCTCCCAAAGTGTTGGGATTACAGGCGTGAGCCACCACATCCCACCTGTTTTACTTTTTGTAGTAATGAGGTCTCACTTTGTTGCCCAGGCTGGTCTTGAATTCCTGGGCTCAAGCGATTCTCCAGCCTCAGCCTCCCAAAGTTCTGGGATTACAGGCATGAACCACCTTTTCCACCAATAAAGGATATTTTAAAGAATATAAATCCAAAGCCAAATAAAGAGATATATAGGGCAAGGCATGTGGGAAGGGGCTTGGAGTCTTCAGGCCCTTTCTGGATGCACCACCCTCCAGGAACCCCCTGTGTTCGGCTACCCAGAAGCTCTCCAAACTTTATCCTTTTGGGATCTCAGCAGGGCTTCATTATGTAGGCATGATTGATTTCCCCTGTGGATCAACTTGACTGTCAGCACCCTCTCCCCTCCCAGGAGGTTGAAGGGTCCCAACCCTCTACCTTAGTCTTTCTGGTGACCAATCCCATTCGGAAGCTGCCTAGGGACTGCCAGTCATCAGTCAACTCATTAGCATACAGAAAGACACTTTACTACTTTAGAGAGTCTGAGGATATTAGGAGTTGTTTGCCAAGAAAGACCAATTATATATTTCACAGTATCACACCCCTACAAAAACCATACACAAACGATCATAGGATCTTTATTCATAATATTCAACAACTAGAAACAAACAAGATGTCTTTCAACTAGTGAATGGTTACACTGTGTGGTATATCCATGCCATGGAAAACTATCAACAAAAAAAAAGGAATTGGTCGGGCACAGTGGCTCACGCCTGTAATCCCAGCACTTTAGTAGGCCGAGGCAGGCAGATCACAAGGTCAGGAGTTCGAGACCAGCCTGGCCAACATAGTGAAACCCCAGCTCTATTAAATATATAAAAAAATTAGCCAGGCGTGCTGGTGGGCACCTGTAATCTCAGCTACTCGGGAGGCTGAGGTAGGAGAATCACTTGAACCCAGGAGGCAGAGGTTGCACTGAATCAAGATCACACCACTGCACTCCAGCCCAGGCAACAGTACGAGATCACATCTAAAAAAAAAAAAAAAAAAAACAGGAATCAACTATTGATATAGTGTTAGCTATTGGTATCTACACAGAATTTTGCTGAAGAAAGCAAGTCCCAAAAGGTACATACTGTACAATTTGATTAATACAAGTCTCTTTCTTCCTCCTCTTTTTTGAAATGGAGTCTCACTCTGTAACCCAGGCTGGAGTGCAATGGCGCAATCTCAGCTCACTGCAACCTCTGCCTCCCAGGTTCAAGCGATTCTTTTGCCTCAGCCTCCGGAGTAGCTGGGATTATAGCTGTCCATCATCACGCCCAGCTAATTTTTGTATTTTTAGTAAAGAGGAGGTTTCACAAGGTTGTCCAGGCTGGTCTCAACCTCCTAACCTCAGGTGACCCACCCACCGCAGCCTCCCAAAGTGCTGGGATTATGGACATGAGCCACCTCGCCCAGCCCTTTTTTTTTCTTTTTGTGGAGAACAGTGTCTCACTATATTGCCCAGGCAGGTCTCAAACTCCTGGGCTCAAACTATCCTCCCACCTCTGCCTCCCTAAGAGCTGGGATTACAGTCATGAGCCACCATGCTGGGCAAATACAACATTTTTCTTTTTTTTTTCTTTTTTTTTTTTTAAGATGGGGTTTCACCATGATGGCCAGGCTGGTCTTGAACTCCTAACCTCAGGTGATCCACACACCTCGGCCTCCCAAAGTGCTAGGGTTACAGGCATGAGCCACTGCACCTGGCCAACATTTTTCTTTTTGAGACAGGGTCTCACTCTGTCACCCAGGCTGGAGTGCAGTAGTGTGATCTTTGCTTACTGCAACCTCCACCTCCACCTCCGGATTCAAGTGATTCTCCTGCCTCAACCTCCCAAGTAGCTGGGAGTACAAAGGCACACCAGAACACCTGGCTAATTTTTGTATTTTTAGTATAGACAGGGTTTCACCATGTTAGCCAGGCTGGTCTCAAACTCCTGGCCTCAAGTGATCCACCCGCCTCAGCCTCCCGAAGTGCTGGGATTACAGGTGACAGGTGTGAGCCACTGCCTGGCCACAACATTCTTGAAATGAAAAAATTATAGTACTAGAGAATAGATTAGTGGTGCCTGGGGTTAAGAGGGGATTTGATGAAGGGAATGAAGTGGTTGTGCCTATTTAATGACAACATGGGAGATTCTTGTGGGAATGGAAATGCTCTGTATGTCCATATCCTGGGTGTTACAAGATGTTACTACTGGGGAGAAAAACTGCATAAATGGTACATTGCATTTGAATCTACAATTATCTCAAAATATAAATTTAACTTAAAAAATAAAATAAAGAACATATAGATTGCTTATACCCATTACTGGAGATAGTTTTTAAAAAAAAAGAACATATAGAAGAAAAAAATAGGATCCTCTTCCTTACCTCAAAGGATCTGCCATGTTCTCCTGGAATCAGGGCAGGGAATGCCTGCGGTGATGTCCCATTAGCTGGCATGTTCACCCTGGGTCTCGGCCCACCTTCCTTGCTGGGCAGCTCTCTGTGTGCAGAGGGTCCTGCAGCCTCCAGTAAGGGGTAAGACTCAATGGTTCCACAGAGGCACCAAGAAATCCTAAAAGGACAGTATCCATATCATCAGTGTCATCCCACATTCATGCCACAATACAATGTTCAGCATCCCCACCCTGAGCATTAGTCAAGGTGGACTACGGAAATGATCAAATTTGGGGCCAAATTAATGAGCTTGGGGTCCCTTCCTTTTTTTTTTTTTTTGGGACGAAGTCTTACTCTGCTGCCAGGCTGGAGTGCAGTGGTACGATCTCGGCTCACTGCAACCTCTCCCTTCCGGGTTCAGGCAATTCTCCTGCCTCAGGCTCCCAAGTAGCTGGGATTACAGGCACACACCACCATGCCCAGCTAATTTTTCTATTTTTAGTAGAGACTGGGTTTCACCATGTTGGCCAGGATGGTCTCAATCTCTTGACCTTGTGATCCGCCAGCCTTGGCCTCCCAAAGTGCTGGGATTACAAGTGTGAGCCACTGCACCCAGGCTAGGGATCCCTTCTTGAGTGGTTCTACCAGGTGCTTCACTCCCTACTCAGCCAGGATACACATCAGTTCAAGTTCAAGGCAGATCTGGGTTTAGGAGGAATAGATCTGGGGCAGTGAATGGTGCTTAAGGCCCATTGGGTAGGCAGGTGATGCGCAGGTCCAAGGGGACTTGGTGGGTGACTGTGAAGGCAAGAAACCTGGAAAGCAGGTAATCTAAATGAAAGGAAATCGGCTGGTCCTTTCTTCTGCCATCTTTTGTTATTTTTCCACTCCTAGATGAAATATTCCTCTTAAATTCTTCTACTGGGAAGCTTTTAGCCTCTTCTTTCCAGAAAAAAAGAAAAATGGTTCAATCTTAATTATGTTATGTGGTTTTTTTTTCAGATGGAGTTTCGATCTTATCACCCAGGCTAGAGTGGAATGGCGTGATTTCGGCTCACTGCAACCTCCACCTCCCAGCTACTCAAGTGATTCTCCTGCCTCAGCCTCCTGAGTGGCTAGAATTACAGGCACGTGCACCACACCCAGCTAATTTTTGTATTTTTTAATGTTTTTTTGAGATGGAGTTTCGCTCTTGTTACCCAGGCTGGAGTGCAATGGCACGATCTCGGCTCACCTCAACTTCTGCCTCCTGGGTTCAGGCAATTCTCCTGCCTCAGCCTCCCGAGTAGCTGGGATTACAGGCATGCGCCACCATGCCCAGCTAATTTTTTGTATCTTTAGTAGAGACAGGGTTTCACCATTTCGACCAGGATGGTCTCGATCTCTTGACCTTGTGATCCACCCGCCTCGGCCTCCCAAAGTGCTGGGATTACAGGCGTGAGCCACCGCGCCCGGCCTAATTTTTTTTTTTTAAGATGGGGTTTCACCATGATGGCCAGGCTGGTCATCATGGTGAATGGCAATTTTTGTATTTTTAGTAGAGACATTTCACCATCTTGATCAGGCTGGTCTCGAACTCCTGACCTCAAGTGATCCACCCACCTCAGCCTCCCAAAGTACAGTTGTGAGCCACAGTGCCCAGCCTAATGTTATGTATTACATCAACAAATTACAAGGGGAAACATTCTTCTATTAACTTACACCAAAAAAGCATCCAATGCAATTCAGCAGCCATTACTAATAAAAGCTCCAACTAAAATTAGGGAAGATGCAAATCACTTAAATGCCACAAAAATCAATTATGAAACATAACCCTGAAACGCCATGCTAAAAAGTAAAATGAAGAAGCGATTGCCATAAAATTAGTACTGTCTGCTATAACCCAAAATTGTTTTGTGGGCTCTAGCACACATTAGAGAAGATGAAATCATCAATGTGGGCTGGGCACAGTGGCTCATGCCTGTAATCTCAGAACTTTGAGAGGCCAAAGCAGGAGGGTTGCTTTAGTCAAGGAGCTGGAAACCAGCCCTGGCAACAAAGTGAGACCTTGTCTTTACAAAAAATAAAATGATCTGAGTGTGGTGGTCCGTGCCTGTAGTGCCAGCTACTAAGGAAGCTGAAGCAGAAGGATAGCTTGAGCCTGGAAGGTCGAGGATGCAGTGACCTCTGATGGTGCCACTGCACTCCAGCCTGAGTGACAAAGCAAGACCTTGTCAAAAAAAAAAGAAAAAGAAGTAGAAGAAAATAAATAGGCCGGGCGTGGTGGCTCACGCCTGTAATCCCAGCACTTTGGGAGGCCAAGGTGGGTGGATCACGAGGTCAAGAGATCGAGACCATCCCGGCCAACATGGTGAAACCCCATCTCTATTAAAAATACTAAAAAAATTAGCCGGGTGTGGTGGCACGCGCCTGTGGTCCCAGCTACTTGGGACGCTGAGGCGGAAGAATTGTTTGAACCCGGGAGGCGGAGGTTGCAGTGAGCCAAGATTGCGCCACTGCATTCCAGACTGGTGACAGAGCAAGACTCCATCTCAAAAAAAAAAAAAACAAAACAAAAAAAAAAACAAAGAAGAAGAAAAGAAATAATCAGCCTAGGCGCAGTAGCTCATGCCTTTAATCTCAACACTTCAGGAGGGCATGGCAAGAGGATCACTTGACCCAGGTATTCAAAACTAACCCAGACAACATGGCAAGATCTGTTACCCTAAAAAAAAAACAAACCACACACACACACGGAGTTGTAGTGAGAGGAGATCACTTCACTACACTCCAGCCTAGGCAACAGAGCGACACCCTGTATGTATTTTTTTTTAAAGGCCAGTGCAGTGGCTCACGCTTGTAATCCCAGCACTTTGGGAGGTCGAGGCAGGCAGATCACCTGAGGTCGGGAGTCCAAGACCAGCCTGGCCAACATGGTGAAACCCCGTCTCTACTAAAAATACAAAAATTAGCCAGGCGTGGTGGTGCATACCTGTAATCCCAGCTACTCGGGAGGCTGAGGCAGGAGAATTGCTTGAACCTGGGAGAAGGAGATTGTAGTCAGCCTGGATGACAGAGCCAGACTTCGCTTCAAAACAAAAAAGGCAGAAAGAAAAAAGAAAACTAATAATAATTAGAGTGAACATGGACATTGGAAAGAAATGAAAATAAAAATGTAGCTTTCTTGCCAATGTAAAAAATCTTTTATGATTTTATGATTTTAAACCTACCAGAGGCTGGGCGTGGTGGCTCACACCTGTAATCCTAGCACTTCGGGAGGCTGAGGTGGGCAGATCATCTAAAGTCAGGAGTGTGAGACCAGCCTGACCAACATAGTGAAACCCCGCGTCTACTAAAAATACAACATTAGTCAGGCGTGGTGATGCCTGCCTGTGATCCCAGCTACTCAGGAGGCTGAAGCAGGAGAATCACTTGAAGCCGGGAGGCAGAGGTTGCAGTGAGCCAAGATCGCGCTATTGCACTCCAGCATGGGCAACAAGAGTGAAACTCCATCTCAAAAAAGAAAAAGAAAAGAAAACCTACCAGACTCTGCTAAAAATCTACTAAAATTAATCGGGTATAACATAATGTAAGGGGCCGGACACAAGGTAAGATTATAAAAGCAAATCGTTTCTCTCTATAATAACAAACAGTGAGCCAGTGGAAACAAAATTGCATAAATAATGATAGCAAAAACTATATGAAGTTTGTAAGAATAATCTTTTTTGTGTTTGTTTTTGAGACAGGGTCTCGCTCAGTCACCCAGATGGAGTAAAGTGGTTTAACATCACGGCTTTGGAATCAGGCGATCCTCCCACCTCAGCTTCCAGAGTAGCTGTGACTACAGGCACACTCCACCATGCCCAGCTAATTTTTTTCCTTTATTTTATTTTATTTTATTTTATATTGGTACAGATGCGGGGGGGTCTCCCTGTGTTGCCCAGGCTGGTCTCAAACTCCTGGACTCAAGCAATTGCCCGCCTCAGCCTCCCAAAGTGCTGAGATTATAGGGGTAAGCCACCGCGCCAGGCCAGAATAAACATTTTAAGGAGTTGGGCATATATATGATTACAAAAAGAAAAAAAATGTTGACTAATATAAAATAGTCGTCCTGGAGCAGTGGTTCACACCTGTAATCCTAACACTTTGGGAGGCCGAGGCGGGTAGACAGCTTGAACCCAGGAGTTCGAGACCAGACTGGGCAACACGGCGAAATCCCGTCTACACTAAAAACATAAAAATTAGTTGAGTGTGGTGGCGCTCACTTGTAATCCCAGTGACTGGGGAGGCCCAGGAACAAGAATCGCTTGAAATTGTTAGGCGAAGGATGCAGTGAGCTGAGATAGCGCCGCTGCACTCCAGCCTGGGCGACAGAGCAAAACTCCGTCTCAAGAAAAAAAAAAAATTAAAAACAAACTAAAAAGATGGTGTATGCAAAATATTCTTGATTGCAGCTAAAGAGATCGTTAAGGGAAAACGCATGCTCTTAATTTTTTTTAACAAAGGCTGAGCATTAACGAATTAACAACCAATTTAAGAAGTTAAAGAGAAAATAGTACAGATAAGAGCAGAAATTAAAGAAAGAGAAAACGAAGGTACATCAGAAGAGACCTGTGATCAGAGGAGCAACAAGATGAAAAGTTGTTTTTTTGGGAAGGCTAATAAAATTAGCAAACCTCTGGGAATCCTGATCAAGGAAAAACCTAAAGCACACACTATTAAGGCTGGACATCAAGACACAGCAGGGAATCTAAAACCTGACTACTCCAGAGGCCCTCATCCCTGACACTCATAGATTCCCATTCATTCGATTATGTATTTCCCCACCAATTGACACCACAACTGCCAGTGCATCATCCCCCGAAGCCAACAAAGCCATCACCTTAAAATCACCTGAGCGACTATCACGCCATAAAACATGCACTGCATTTAGCGTCGCGCGCCAAGAAGACTTAAACGGCCTCTGAGGGGGATTTCCGTTTCCTGTCCTCACCCCTGACACTGCACCTTCTAGGGCTGTTGATTTTGCACACGATCATTAGGACTGAGAGGTTGTAGTCTACTCACTGAACACAGCGCTGTTACGGATCGGCAGAGACGTGGTCCAACAGCGGTGTTGTCAGACGAAGAATATGGCTGCGCTAGTCGTATCTCCATGGGGGCCGCCATCTTAGCACCCATTCCGTACAGTGGGCTGTTCCACAGAAGGAGGGGGCGAGAGGACGTTCACGGGTAGAATCCTTCTGAGGGCAAGATTCTGGGAGAAGCTGATCTTTGGAACTCAGTTCTTTAACTTTGGGCAAAGTTTAAAGTGGCAGAGGTGCATCTCCTACACAGGGAAGAGTAGGGCGTGTTCTGATGTTCAAGGGAGACACCACTGGGCAAGAGGGGAAGAAGTCAGGGTGGTACAATCCCCCCCTTGGCGATACCACTGGGAAGAGGGGAAAGGAGTCAGTGTGACAACAGAACGATACCTTGTCTTTAAAAAAGAAAGAGGCCGAGGCGGGTGGATTACGAGGTCAAGAGATCGAGACCATCCTGGTCAACAAGGTGAAGCCCCCGTCTCTCAAAAAAAAAAAACAATACAAAAATTAGCTGGGCACGGTGGCGTGTGCCTGTAATCCCAGCTACTCAGGAGGCTGAGGCAGAGAATTGCTTGAACCCAGGAGGTGGATGTTGCGGTGAGCCGAGATTGCGCCATTGCACTCCAGTCTGGGTAACAACAGCGAAACTCCATCTCAAAAAAGAGAGAAAGAGAGGAGAGAGGAGAGAGAGGGAAGAGAGAGAGAGAGAGAGAGAGAGAGAGAGAGAGAGAGAGAGAGGGAGAGAGAGAGAAAAGAAAACAGCCTTGTGCCGTAGCTTACATCTGTAATCCCAATGCTTTGGGAGGCTGAAGTGGGTGGACTACCTGAGGTCAGGAGTTCGAGACCAGCGTGGCTAACATGGTGAAACCCCCATCTCTACAAAAAATATAAAAATTAGCTGGGCATAGTGGCGCACGCCTGTAGTCCAGCGACTCAAGAGGCTGAGGCAGGAGAATAGCTTGAACCTGGGAGGCGGAGGTTGCAGTGAGCCGAGATCACATCACTGCACTCCAGCCTGGGTGGTGGAGTGAGACTCCCTCTCAAACAGACAAAAAAATGTTATTGATCATGGCCGGAAGTGATAGTTCACGCCTGTAATCCCAGAACTTTGCGGAAAGCCGAAGTAGACGGATCACTTGAGACCAGCCTGGGCAACATAGTGAGACCTCATCACTGCAAAAAATAAACAAAATTAGTTGCGCACAGCGACGCGTGCCTGTAGTCCCAGCTACTCAGGAGGTGGGGAGGTGAGAGGATCTCTTGAGCCTAGGAGGTCCAGACTGCAGTGAGCCACGATCACACCACTGCACTGCAGCCTGAGGAACAGAGCGAGATACTGTCTCAATCAATCAATCAATAAAATGTTGTTGATCTTGATTACTGAGTTTTTTAGTAACCCCTACAGTTTACACTTGAGGCAATTGCCTCCCTCACCTCACCCTACTCCTAGCCCTGCAGAGAAACCTTGTTCTCTAAAATCATAGACTATCAGAAATTTTCCTGTTTGAAATAATATCAATAAAAATAAAACCAGATCGGTGGTGGTGGCTCATGCCTGTAATCCCAGCACTTTGGGAGGCCGAGGCAGGCAGATCACAAGGTCAGGAGTTCCAGACCAGCCTAGCCAATATGGTGAAACTCCATCTCTACTAAAAAACACAAAAATTAGCCGGGCATGGTGGTGCATGCCTGTAATCCCAGCTGCCCGGGAGGCTGAGGCAGGAGAATCGCTTGAACCCAGGAGGCAGAGAGTGCAGTGAGCTGAGATCGTGCTGCAGCACTCCAGTTTGGGTGACAGAGCGAGACTCTGTCTCAAAAAAAAAAAGAATAAAACCTTCTACTCTTCCCTGAAGGATCTAAATTATTTTGACACAGAGAAATAGCCTTGATTTCTAACCCAGGTGCAGAGCTTCAGCTAATAGGTATCTGGAGCCAACACTTCACATCTGTGTTTAGTGTTTATTTTTCTTCCTTTTCTCTTTTCTTTTTTTTCTGAGATAGGATCTCACTCTGTCACCCAGGCTAGAGTGCAGTGGCATGATCACAGCTCACTGCAGCCTCAACCTCCTGGTCTCAAGTGATCCTCCCACTTCAGCCTCCCAAATAGCTGACAGACTACAGGCACACGCCACCATGCCCAGCTACCTTTGTTCATTTTTTGTAAAGACAAGATCTTACTATGTTGCCCAGGCTTGTCTTGAACTCTTGGGCTCAAGGGATTCACCCACCTCAAGTCCTAGGATTACAGTCCTGAGCCACTGCACATGGCCTTTCTTTCTCTTCCTTCTTTCCTTCCTTCCCTCCCTCCCTCCCTCCCTCTTTCTTCTCTCTTTCTTTCTTTCTTTTTCTTCTTTCGAGATGGAGTCTTGCTCTGTCACCCAGGCTGGAGTGCAATGGTGTGATCTCAGCTCACTGCAACCTCGCCTCCTGTGTTCATGTGACTTTCCTGCCTCAGCCTCCCAAGTAGCTGGGATTACAGGCATGTGCCACCACACTTGGCTAATTTTTGTACTTTTAGTAGTGATGGGGTTTCACCATGTTGGCCAGGCTGGTCTTGAACTCCTAACCTCAGGTGATCCACCCGCCTCGGCCTCCCAAAGTGCTGGAATTACAGGTGTGAGTCACCACACCCAGCTTTTTTTCTGTTTCCAAAGATAAAGGACCCTAGACCTACTTCACAGCCTGAACCTGATGTTGATCCTTTTCCATACCAACCTCCTTTGCTTTGGGCTTGTCAAAACACTGCTTCATTTAAACTTTACCTAAACTCCACTCCTATATCCTATAGTAATGCCATTTCTTCCTTTGTTCATTGACACTAAGGTGATCAACCATCCCTGACTGCCCAGGAATGGGGTTTAGTGGGACAAGAGCATTGAGTGCTAAAAGCAGGAAAGTCCTGGGTAAAGTGGAACAAGTTAAGTTACCTAGGTGAGACATCTGCACAGTTCCTATGGGGCGTGGTCTTCCTTGCTGCGGCAGGTTAATAAACCCATTTTTTTCTGGACTATGGATGTGACCTTGGTGGTTTTTATCAAGGTCATTAATGTTGGAAGAGTACACAGAGGTGAAGTTTCAGATCTCTCCTAGTATGCATTGATGGTGAAAAAATGAATAGCCCTGATTCAGGCTCCAGGTCGGCAGGGCATCACTGAAGGAATAGTCAAAGGCTGAATGCTAAGCTATACCAGAAAGGCACTGATGGTGGAAGAGTTATCAGAGCACTAGATTGAGGTCAAACTAAATTAATACTACTGGGAAGCCGGGCGTGGTGGCTCACACCTGTAATCCCAGCACTTTGGGAGGCCGAGGTGGGCAGATCACCTGAGCTCGGGAGTTCGAGACTAGCCAGGCCAACATGATGAAACCCCGTCTCTACCAAAAATACAAAAATTAGCTGGGTGTGGTGGCACACGCCTGTAACCCCAGCTACTCGGGAGGCTGAGGCAGGAGAATCGCTTGAACCCAGGAGGCGGAGGTTGCAATGACCCGAGATTTCACTATTGCAATCCAGCCTGGGCAATAGAAGGAGACTCTGTCTCAAAACAAACAAAAAAGATGGGGTTTGACGTGTTGGTCCAGAAGTGATGAAAATGTTAACAGAGGCCCAGATTTTAGATTTTGACAAGGGAATTCTTAACGTGGATTAGGTAACAGATGACCAAATTCAAGGTCCAGCCAGATGAGCAGTGGTGGCAGCAGAGTTCACAGAAACCAGCAGTTTGAGATTTCTTGTCTAGACCAAATGGGGGAGTTGTAGATAGATGGTTCAGCTGACCAGTGGCTGCATCGGGGAGGTGGGATCTGGTTTCTGGTGGCCAATGGGATGAAGTAGCAGGCTGTTACTAGGGAGAAGCCCCTTTTGCTATGTGCAGAGTGGAAGGGAGCTGAGTTGCTACAAATAGTTAGCCAATGACTGCACGAGAAGTTGGGCTTTAGCCTCTTCAGCCTATGGCAGTAATGGTAAACTGTTACTAGGTAGTAACTAACCCCGTTGCCATGTGAACTGAGGCAGTCAAAGCCTAGCTTGAAAAGCTGTGGACAGAAGGCGCACTTAGCTAATGGCTGAATATAAGAAACAGGCTCTGGTCTCCCAGTCAATATGAGGCTGCCTGATCCGTAAATCAGCAGAATTCCCCATTGCCCAATGCAAGGAAGGGGCAGGACGGACATAGCGTGACAAGGGCGCAAGTAGATGGCACAGCTGGAGGTAGTGGAAGTGGGTGGGGGCACAGCCCGAGGTTGCTTTGGACAGATGGCGCAGCTAGCCAATGGCTCTGTTCGGGAGGCAGGCTTTAGTCTCCATGGCCAATGAAATGCGAACATTCCTATCACTAGGCGAAATAATTTTGCGGTTCAAATTACATCATTAAGAATGAAACATCTTAATGGCTGAGAGACTAAATTACTTTGACACAGAACAGCAGCCTCAATTTCCAACTCAGATGGAAGACGGGGAGGAGATGTAACATGAAAGCCTGCAGTGAGATGACACAAAAAGAAAAAATAATAAGTTAAATTAACTTTAATAACATACTTTGAACTACATATCCAAACATTCTTATTTCAACGTAATTTTTAAAATTATCTAGATATTTAGCATTCTTTTGTGGTAATAAGACTGTGAAATCAGATGTGTATTTTACACTGACAGCACATCTCAATTTTGAAAGCTAAATTATCAGAAATACTTGATTTGTATTTAGATTTCACAAAATTTACAGTTGAAAACAGGTTAACATTCCGGGTGCGGTGGCACACACCTGGAATCCCAGCATTTTGGGAGGCCAAGGTGGTTGGATCACCTGAGGTCAGGAGTTCCAGACTAGCCTGACCAACATGGAGAAACCCTGTGTCTACTAAAAATACAAAAATTAGCCAGGCGTAGTGGCATATGCCTATAATCTCAGCTATTTAGGAGGCTGAGGCAGGAGAATCGCTTTAACCCAGGAGGCAGAGGTTACAGTGAGCCAAGATTGCGCCATTGTACTCCGACCTGGGCAATGCAAGTGAAACTCCGTCTCAAAAAACAAAACCAAAAATGTTCACAAGTGGCTAGGCACAGTGGCTTATGCTTGTAATCCTAGAATTTTGGAAGGCCAAGGAAGGAGGATTTCTTGAGGCTAGGAGTTCCATAGTACCCTGGACAACATAGTGAGACCCTGTCTCTACAAAAACTAAATTAGCTAGTCATTGTTGAGGGATCTGTGGGGATCGCTCCCATGTGAGG